TTTTTTTTTTTTGGCTTAATTAGTTAATTAGTTTGTGTTGTGTTATTTTATTTCACTATTTTTTTTTTTTTTTTTTATATACTTCAAATATTAATATATTTAAGATGCCGTATCAAGAATTGTATGAATCTAATAAAGATTATGAGAATGAGAATGACGATATAAATTACGATGAGATAGCTAATAGTATGCTTGGAAAAATGGATAAGCATATGTATGAAGAATCGTCTGTTTTTCCAGATTACTCAGAAAATATAGATAAAAACACAAGTACCAACTTGAATGAAGAAACAAATGCAACAAATAAATCAACTCTATTAAGAAATGAAAAATTTTCTAATCAAGAAAACGGAATAGATAAACATACACTACATGCTACATTATACCCACGTAGAGTAATGACACCACTAGGTCCACTACCTTTACCAGAAGAATTTAAAAGAAATATACCAGAAAAATTTGTTGCAAAACCCATTATTGAGGAAAGGGAGATATATGTATCAAAAAAGGAAAGAAAACAAAGAGAAATAGAAGTTCCACATGTGAAATATGAACATACATTTGAAAAAATCAAAAAACAATTAAAAGTTAGCAAATTAGTACCAAGCGTTTCACAAGTTATAAAAGAAGTACCAAAAGAAGTATTAAAACCAGTAATTGAAGAGAAAATAATTGAAGTACCTCAAGGAGTAAAATATGTAGAAGTTCCAGTAGAAGTACCATGTTTATACCCACCAAAAATAATACCTAAAGTAGTAACACAATATGTAGAGAGAATAGTAGAAACTATAAAACCAGTAGTACAAGAAAAAATTATTGAAGTACCACAAACGGTTATAAAACAAGTACCAAAAATTAAAACAGTAGAAGTACCTTATTATGTACCAAGATATGTAGAAAAAATAGTTGAAGTACCTTTTAAACCAAATGGAGAAATGCCTCAGTTAGGTACACATAGTCCATTTTCTATTTCTGAATCTTTACCTCCATTAAAGCCAACACATTTTCTAAATAATCACCAAAATCCTTATGACCAATTCAATATGCATCATTCAATGTATCCTCAAATGAATGATTATAACAAATCTTTTGAACAAAATATAATGAATAGCACTTCACCTATTATACCTAATTTAAGTATGCCACCAACTATTTTAAAATCTATGAACTCTAAAGAATCCTTTAGTAATACTCCTATAAATTTCCCTATGAATTCGAGCTCCATCTTAAATTCCAATGGAGATTGTATTAATCAAGAAAATTTATATAGTCAAATAGAAAATTTGCCTTATAAACATAAATTACCAGAAGGGTTACAATGGCAATATTCAGATGGAGTAATGAACAAACCTTTAATGAATAACCGAAATATGCCTCCATTAGTTGTTACTTGCCCACCGGAAATTGGAAGAGTTACTTGTGCTCGTAAAGATATTCAACCAGACATTTTGACTAAAACAGGTGTTTATGAATTTGATGGTTTTAAAAAAAAAGGAACTTCTCAATCCCTTTTTCCTCCCTTAGCTCATCATAGTCGAGTTCCTTTCTTACCTCCACCTGCAGCACCAGGTACTCCTGATGTCAGAACTATTGAAAATAATCGTTATTAAATTTATTAATATATATACAATTACCTTTTTTTTTTTTTTTATGTATCCTTTGGATATATATGTATATTTATTCTATAAAATATATTTAATTATACATATTATAGAAAATAGAAATTTTAGTATATTATTTTATATTAATAAGATCATTAATAAAAATATATTATATAAATTAATTCTTCATAATTGTTTAAAAATTGTTTTTGTTTTATTTTTATCTAATATGTTTTTTGTATAGTAAATGACATTGTAAAAATAATTATATTTATTAAATCAAATAGGAAAAAAAAAAAAAAAAATACATATCTAAAATTAAAATTAGTAGATATAAAAAAGAAAATAATAAAGACAAAAATAGAAATTAACATTTTTATAATAAAAAAAAAATTCTTAATTTCCTTATAATTTGGAATTAATATAACTATAATTGTTATAATTTGTATAATTGGTTACATGAGTAGTTTTTTATATTTGTCTTAAAATATAATACTATATGTATATATACATTGTCTTTTTTTGTTAATAATATTTATATATACTTTTCTTATATATTATTCTCTTCTTTTATCATAAGCTATTTTTTTTTTTTTTTTTCTCTCTACAGTTTTTATATATAAATTATAATTATTTCTTAATAAAAATAATATTTATTTTTTTTTGAAAATGTTCAAGTGATGAAATGTATTTTTACATTTTTTTCAAGTTTCATATTTAATAAGAAAAAAAGAACAAATCAGTAAAATAATTATGTTCATATTAAATATTTTTAAAGTACTTTATAAAATATATATATATATATATATATATTAAATAATTTACAAATTTTTACTAAAATATTGTTATGACTCATACAGTGTAATATTATTAACCTCATTATTTTTGTAATTTTTTTTTTATCATTGAAGTAATTTATTAGTTGTGTTTTCGACATGATAAGAATTTAATTCATTTTATAATATATAAAGAAAAAAACATAAAAAAAAATAATTTTAACAATTATATATATGAGTTATTTGCCATTATAGTGTTACCATTATATAAATATAAAATAAACAAAGACTGTTTAAAATTATCCTTTTATTCACAATTTTATATAGAGTGAAATATTATAGTCATATGTATTATATTCATTTTTCATTTATCAAATAAAAATAAATAAAATGACATAAAATAAATAAAAAAAGAAAGATTTTATAATTTAATTATAACATAGTATAATATAAATTTTGTATAGAAAATGTAATGAGATAATTTAGTTAAATGTAGAAATGTATTCATTGAGTTGGATACATAATACATAATAAAACATAAAATAGAATTATAAGAAAATAAAATAAAAATTAAAATTAATACAAACAAAAAAGTAATTTAAAGTTATAATTAATATAAAAATTAATAATCTAAAATTAAGTTATGCATTAAAATTTCACATATATGTAAATATATGCGTATTTCAACAAAAAAAAAAAAAAAATGTTTCATTTTAATTTATAAATAATAAATTTCTATATTTTTTCATTTTTTTTTTTTTTTTGTAAATATACATACTGTTTAATTTTTTTGGGATATTTTAAAATTTCAATTGAAATAATAAATTATCTTTATTAATTTAAAAAAAAAAAAAATTAAATATTCTACAATATAAAAATTTTATTTATATACATATATATAATCAGCGAATATAAATGTGTTGATATATTTAAGTTACATAATTATTTATTTGTTAATTATTTCATATAAATACTTAATAAATAATAGCTGATAAAAAAAATTGGAGAACTATTAAAAATCTTTTTATTGAAAGAAGCATGTAATTATTAATTAAATATAGGAAATTTTCATATCAAATTTTTTTGCTTCTTTAATAAAAGATAATTAGTAAAAGTAAATTTTAAAAGAAAAAAATGCTAAAAAAGTAATGATTTTTAATATTTTTAAGAATATTGTAAAAAATGGAAATATTATAAGTAGGAAAAAGCCCATTTTTGAAAATCATGTGAGATATATGAAAAATAAAAGAAGAGGGCTAAAGGAACAACCAAGAAAGAAACCTTTAGATATAGAAAAAAAAATTAAAAATCCTGATAAATATGAAGAGAAAATGCATTTTGATAATCTTTGTAAAGGTGAATTGTATTTACCTGAATCATGTAAGGCAAGAAAATTAGCTATGTTGTGTAATCGTTTATTTTATTTTAATATAAATGATGAAGAATTATTAGAAAGATATGCTCAAAGAGCTATTGTTATAGCTAATAGTATGGGTACTAAAGAAATTTCCTTAATATTAAATACAATGAGAAAATTTAATCATAAAAATGAAAAATTATTAGAAACATTTGCTAAATATATACCGAGTAAACTCTATAAAGGAGTTCCACAAGATATATCTTTAATATTAAATGCATATGCTCATTTTAATTATATTGACAAAAATTTATTTAATAGAATATGTGAAGAAATACCTCATAAAATTCCATATTTTGAACATAATCACATATCAAGTGTTATTAATGCATTTTACAAATTAAAAATAAAAGACAAAATTATTATAGATGATATGGCTGATGAGATAATTGAACGAATTAATGAATTTGATACAAAATCTTTAACAAATATTATTAATTCCTTTTCGAAATTAAACTATAAAAATGAAAATAAGAAAATAATATGGGAAAAATTTATTGAAGCGGTAAAAAATTTAAATAAAGAATTCAACTTTTTAGAAGTTGTGTTAATCACTAATGCGTTTTGTAAAAAAAAAATGAAAAATAAAAATATTTATAGCTTTTTAAAAGAAATTTTAATTTATCACATTTTTGAAAGAAAATCATTAAATTCCAATAATGCTTTTCTGCTTTGTACAGCTGCTCACTCTTTTGCTTGTATCAAATTTTATTCTAAAGAATTATTCGATTTTATTATTTCATATTTTTCCGATGAAAACAACTATATATCATTAGATACTCAACACTTTTCTCAATTAATTTATCCATGTTCAGTGTTTAATATAAAAAATCCACTATTTGTTGATGTTTTTATTAAAATGTCATGTAAAAAAATAGAAAATAAAGAATTAAATGAACAGACAATATCTACCATTGCATATTCATTAGCTAAATTAAACATAAGGGATACAAATTTTTTTGTTTTATTATCTTCTTATATTATTAAGGAAAAAATAAATTTATCTACTCAAAGCTTAAGTTTAATTTGTTATAGCTATTCTAAATTAAAAATAAAATCAGAAATTTTATTTTACTTTTTATCTATTCAAATATTTCAAAGTATGAATATGCTAACTAAGCAAGGTTTATCTATTATTTTAAACTCTTACGCTAATTTAAAAATTTTTAATGTAAAATTGTTTACCTTAATTAATAAATATTTGAATCTTTATGCAGACAACTTTACAAATGAGGAATGCCTATTAATTTGTAAAAATTATGAAAATGCATTAAAAAACATGAATGATGAAATACAAAATAAAAACAGTGACAAAAATGTAGTTACTAGAATATCTAATACAAAAAAAGAATTAAGTAGTTTTGTTAACACTTTAAAAGAAAAAATAGAATATTTTAAAAAACATGGTGATTTAAGATCAAATATTTCTTTAAAAGATGATGACCATTTTTCTTGGAAAAATAAAATTCATAAAAATCACAAAACTGAAGGAGAAGAAAAAGTAGAAGATGAAATGGATGAAGAAAATGAGGAAAATTTTTTTTCTATTTTTAATCAAAATGATATTATTACTGATGAACCAAAAGATAAAAGTGAAGAATTTAACTATTTGATAAATTCAGATAAATTATCGGATACATTTGATGATACCCAAGATGTTAAGAAAAAAGAAGATACTTTAAAAATTTATGAAAAAATGTTTTTAAATAATGTAGAAAACACCGATAATAAGAAAATTTCTTTAATGAATGAAGAATTGAATAAAAATCTTCATTCTATTTTAGATAATGAAAGTAAAAAAATAGATAAAAACAAAATATCTGAAAATAGAAGTGCAAAGAGTTTAATTGAATTAATGACTTCCAATAAGCCACCAATAATAAATTATGATAAAGAAAATTTGATAAAATCAGCTGAACAAATAGAAACAGAATTTATAAAAGCTTACATAAATGAAAAAAATGAATCTAATGATAATAATAAAATTGGAAGAAGTTCAAAAAGAAGAAAAAAAAAAGTTGATAAAATTTTGTCTAAAAAATATGAACCTATAGAAGATATTAATACTTTGCAAAAAAAATGGAATAATTTTTATGAAAAATGATAAAACTTTGAAAAATAAAAATATAAACATGTTATTTTTATTTAAAATTTAATTTTTTTTTAATTTTTTACATTTCTGATTTTTATTAATTTTATATTTTTTTTTCATATATATGTACACATTCCTTTTAACTTTTTTTTTTTTTTTTATATTTTTTGTTTTTATATATTATTATTAATTTTCCTACTCTTATTTATTTTATTTTTCATTTGTTTTTTTAATTTGTTAGAAAAATGTTTCTTATGTGTAATAATAATTTAAGAAAAAAAAGTAAAAAATTAAAAAAAATAAAAAAAATTAAAAAAAAAAAAACTATACAAATACATTTCTTTTAAAAATATTCTATATTTAAGCTAAAGAATATAAAATTATGGTTTAAATTATTATTGAAAATGAGAAAAATAAGATAAGAAAAATAGTAAATACTAATTAAAACAAAAATATATTTGTTTTTATGAAATATTTTTAATCATGATAGTTAAAAAAAGTATTAAGCAATTTTTTTTTTTTATATTAATTAAATGATATATATATATTTATAATAAACTAAAAGCAATTTTTTTAGTTTAAATGTTAAATGTTTAAACAGTTTATATTAATAAATATTTTATAAAAATTTTGTTTATTTAATATATAAATTAATTAGGTACATATGGTTATTTTATATTAATTCTTATAACATTAGTAATAAATTTATATATATATATTTATATATATATGTATATAAGTATGATTGATAAGTTTATATATGAAATTATTTATAAGAAACAATTAAAAGAATAATTATAATGTACTCTAATAAATGTTCAAAAAATGTGTACTATTTACCTTTTAAATCGAAATGTTTAAGTAATGTAAATGGTAAGTTGTTAAGTGAAGCATATAATTTACATTATTTTTTATTAAGTTCTAATAATCCATTCAACGATAATGAAGTTCATTTAATTGAATACAATGAACAAGATTTTTGTGTCAGAAACGTAAACATATTTGAATATAAAGGAAGAATAGATCAAATTATCTGCTTAGATATGTATGAAGAAGAAGAAAGAAAGAAAAAAAAAATTCTTTTATGCACTTCAGGATGTAATACATCTGATCTTTGTAATAATGAGAATAATAAAAATGAAATTGAAAATTCATGTTCATTATGGTTAGGAGATATAGAAACTTCAGAGGAACAAGAAAAAGAAAATATTGAGATAGAAGAAGAGAAAGATTTAGAAAATATGGAAATAGAAGATAACTTAAAAGTAGAGCAAAATGATACAGAAAAATTAAAACATATTTTAAGCGATGAAACAAATCAAGATAAAAAGGAATGTAATGAAGATGATAAAAAGAAAGAAAATGAATTAAAAACAAATGAAATAAATAAGAGAATAACAAAAAATAAATTGATTAAACAGAAAAAGGTTCCATTAAAAAAAATTTATGAATTAAAGAGTGATCAGATATATAAAAGCATTAAAAAAATTGCAATTGATGATTATGAAAAAGAAATTAGTAAAATAGCTGTAATTGATAAATATAGTTATAGTATATTTACGAAAAATAATAAAGATATCCAATTTATACAATCAAAAAATGTTGGAAAGCAATTGACTTATGGGATATTTGATCCTCATCATCAAGATATTTTAACAGTAATGAGTGATATAAATATATACGGTTATGATATTAAAAGTAATAAACAAATATTTTCTGCATATACTAACCATAAAGCAAATTTATCCTCAATTGATTTTAACTCTAATATACCAAATATTGTTATAACTTCATCAAATGATGGTTATATAAAATTATGGGATTTGAGATTTTTAAAAAATTCATTTCTAACAATTAATATCCATTCTCATTGGATTACTTCTGTCAATTTTAATCATTTCCATGATGAATTATTACTAACTACAAGTACTGATAATACAGTTAAATTACATAAAATTGAATTTCGAAATAATTTAAATTTACAAAATAAAGATACGAATTATGAATTAATAAAAACATATAAAGATCATGAAGAATCAGTTTATCAAGGTAAGTGGAGTAAAACAGACGCATGGATATTTGCGTCTTTATCGTATGATGGGAAATGTGTTGTAAATAGTGTACCTAATGAACAAAAATATAAAATTTTATTATAAAAAAATGGGATATATATTTTTTTTATTCTTTCAATGTCATTTTTTTTTTTTTTTTTTTTTTTTTTTTATCTAAAAACAATAAAAATATATAATCATATTTGTAAAATTATATTGTATATGAAAAATTATTTGATAAAAACTAAGTTAATCTATTTAATTCAAATAACGAATATTATTTAAATATATTTTTATTTTTAGTATATATTTGTAAATTTGTAGGTGATACTTTTTTTTTTTATTTTTCATAAATTTCGTTTACAATTATAATTTTAGTAAGCTTATGTTTATATATTATTCTTTTTATTTATATAATTTTTATTAATTTAATTTATCCATTTTACTAACAATTTTTGATTTTAAATTAGCCATTTCATAGTTTTCATCCACTTAACATTTTAAATTAAATAAAAAATTTAATTAATATTTCAAGGAAATATTAATTTTATATAAATGTATTTTTTTATTTTTTTCTTATTTTTTCTTTATATTCTATTTTTATTTTAATTTCTTCTACTATATGAAATTTATATTGAATATTTTATTTTTTCTCCTATTTTTTTCTTCATGTTCTATCTTTGTTTTGATTCTTTATATTATCTAAGCTTCATGTTAATTGTATTTTTTATTTTCAGAATTATTTATTGTTTTATATTTTTAGATATCTCAATTTTTATGTAGTTCAAATTTTCTATATTTATAATTGAGTTTATTATTGTTTAAAAATTTTTTTTTTTTTTGATATAAATTAATACTTTTTTATATATAATTATTAGATTATTTTAATTTTTTTTCATGTTTATAATTTTTTGTAGTATTCATAGAATTTTTTTAAGTGAACATGTTTTGTTTTTTCTTAAAACATTTATATACCTAATTATTATTTTAATTATTTTAAGATTGTATAAAATTTATATATTATTTAAAAAGTTTTGTTATGACTAAATATCTCTTTAAGTATTATTTTAATGTTTCTAAGAATTTATAAATTGTTTGCTATATTAATTTTATTATATGCCATGAATAAATGGTTTATTTTTAGTAAGATATTTCAACTGAAACATAAAAAGAGTTTTCATTTTTTATTATTTAAAAATAAGCATAATTATTCAATTAAAAAAAATTTTTTTTTAATAAAAAAAAAATTTAGTAAATATAAAAATTACGCAGAAAATGATACTATATTTAAATATACCAAATACGATAAAAATGATGATTTCTATATTGAAATTTTAGAAAAAAAAGCAAACGAAATTAAGAATACTAAAAACAGTTTTAATAATAAAATTAAAAAAATTAAAAATGAAGGATGGTATCAACCGTTAGATTACACCACTTTATACTTATTGTCGTTTGAATTGAATGTATTATTACAAGACTCCTTTGTTGAACATATAACTCAAGTAGATGATAAAACCATAGTTTTGCATCTGAATAAAAACGAAAAGGAATATTATTTATACTTATGTTATGATAAAAATAACCCAGTTATATCTCTTGGTTTAAAAATAAAAAAGCTATTTAACAGATTTATAGATGATGATTATGCACAAAAACTAAATCCTGTTTTAAAATATTCCGTTATTTCCAATATATACATGAAAAAATCCTTTATAAAAATATTATGTATAGATTTCATATTAAAAAGGAAATGTGAAGAAGATATTGATATTGAAGATATTTTATGTAACTCTGAAGGTAATAGAAAAGTAACATTATTGTTTGATTTACATCATAATTCATGTATCTCTTTTGTTATTAACAAAAGTACTAATGAAATTTTGGTTTCTCCTTATAATTATATAACTGAAAAAACAATCGATAAATCTTTTAAGGAAGGGCATATTTACATTTTCCCAGAAAAAAATGAATGCAAAATAATACCTAATCATTATGAATTTTTCTCATCTTTTCTAAATAATTTTAAGTCAAGAAAAGATCAAAATTTGATTTCATCTTTAATGGACATATATGAAGGATTGAGTTTTAATGTTCTGTTAAAATTTTTTGATTATTTAAATATTCCTTCTGATTTAACATTTTCTCAAATTGATCAAAGTTTGCTTCTAGACTTTTTTAACAAAGCTTATATTAAATGGTTAAGGTTCTTAAATTTAAAAGAAAAAAATAACAATTTCATTTTTTGTCCTCATTATGATTATAAATTAAATACCCATTCTCCTTTGAAATTTATAAAAACGAAAAATTACATTATCCCCGTTGTTCCTGAAAAAAATTCACAAGAAGATGATATACCCAATAATTCTTTAATGGTAAAATATGATGGCATGAATAAGATAGAAAATAATGAAATTAATCAAAAAAATAAGGACATTCTGAAAGAGGATTTAAATACTAAAACATTGAAAAATGAACATAATCAAATAAAAACAAACGATGATAATAAAATAAATGATAAAGAAATACAGTTTGAAACAGTCATAGAAATGGTCTATTATTATTACGCAAGTGTGTTTTCTGTAAATAATTTTTATACCACTTTAAAATATTGCAAAGATTTTATTAGAAAAAAGTTACCATTATATGATGAAATGCTTAATCAATATAAAAATGATAAAGAAGTATGTGAAAAGATGTATTTACTGCGTGAAAACATAGATAAATTGAGTGTTTTTAATCATACTATATCAAAAATGGATGAATGGATAGATAAAAAAACCTTTGATGCCCTAAAATTAATAGAAAATGAATTAAAATTCAATGCATTAGAAGATAATAGAAAGAAATATGTAAAAAAACTTCATGAAAAAAAACAGAAAGAAGAAATATTACAAAAGAAAATACTAAATGTCAAACCAAATAATATTAAAACTCCTCAAAATATTTATAAAGGATCTCTACTAATTAAAATTAATGAAACTGATTTATCATCTCCTTTTTTAATAATAGGAAGAAATAGCAAACAAAATGAAAAAATATCTACACAAATTTTGAAATTTAACGATTTATGGTTTCATGTTCATGAACACCCAGGTGGTCATGTAATTTTGCGAAATAAAAAAATTAATGATAAAATTATTACAGCAGATATAAATTTAAGTGATATAAAAATTGATGATGATTTAAAATATGCTGCAAATATGGCTGCATATTTTTCAAAAGCAAGAAAAATGGAAAAAACTTTAGTTTGCTTTACTTTAGGAAAATATGTTTTAAAAGATAATACACTGAGTGAAGGAGCGGTTGAAGTTTTAAAATATAAATTAATATATGGAAGGTAAAAAAAACTTATTTTTTATTTTTTATATAATTCATAATAATTTTTTTTTTTTTTTTTTTTTTTATTGCATACAAATAACTACAATAAATATAAATACAAGTAAATAATATACATGTATTTTTTTTTTTTTTTTAATTTTTAAATGATTTCATTTTATTCCATTCTTTTAATTTTTTTTTAATTTAGACCAGGTAAAGTTGCAAGTATTATAAAAGATCTCAATGAAAGAAATAAAGAAATTGAACTTTCTAAAAAAAAAAAATGAGCAAATTTTTTATACATAATTTCCATTTCTTATCATTTTATTTAAGATATGTTTCATTTAGACAATAATTTTTTTTTCTTATATTTATTATTATAAACATACTAACTTTTTCGTTTATTTATTTTTTTTTTTTTTTTTTTTGATGCTACAAAATCATTTTCATTTTTGTTTTTAACTTTTAAAGCATAAAATTTCAGAATTCTTTAAAATAAAATAATTTATCATTCGAAAAAACAAAAATATATATATATATACTATTTTTTTTCCAAATATTTAATTCATATAAAAAATTAAAATGGTTATATTATAATTTATAAAATAAATAAAAAGAAAAATAGAATATTAAAATTTAAGATTTTTTATGAAAAAAATAAGTATATTCATTCAAATAAATTATATATGAAAAATTCAAAAACAATCGTACGGAAAAATGATGATAATAATTTCGAATTAATCATAAAATATATATTTTAATAATGCTTTATATTCCTTCATTTATAACAATTATAATATATTTGGCTTTAAAAAATAATTTAGGTATTTTAGCGAATAAAAATAAAAGTATTAACCCTGTATATATTTTATTAAAAGAAAGTAAGAAAAATTATAAAATTGGTAATACAAAAAAAAATACAATTATAAATTTGTTTATATATAATATAAAAGAAAAGAAGATTAGAAAAAATAAGATATATTTAATAAAAAAAAATGTGAATAAGAAAAGAAAAATTGGTAAAATTTTCGCGACAGGTAATTTTTTTAACCCAAAACAATTCAAGGACATATTTTCTGATGAGGATAAAAAAATAAAAAAAAAAGATAATGATGAATGCCTTGAATTAGAAAAAATAGAAAATTTAAAAGAAATATGTCCTGAATTATATAAAAAATTAAATGATTACAATAGATCAGAAGAATCTGAAGATGAATTAAAATATAATAAAGAAGAAGAAGAAGAAATAGTAGATATAAAAAATATTTCTGTATATGAAGGATTACCTCTTTTAATGGTTGATGGAAAAGACTTTCAAGGTTTTGCAGATAGTAGAAAAATTAAAATAAAACCTGATATTGCTACTGAATTTACTAATTCAGATTATAATGAATTTATCAATTCAAATAGTAATAAAAAAAATATTAACAATAATAAAAATGGGGAAATAAACGAAAAAAAATTGGAAAATGATGAAATGGACAAATTGAAAGAAAAAAATAATAACATAGAAAATAAAAACGATGATTGTAATGACTTTGAAAAAAAAGTACAGTACATTTTAGATGAGAAAAAAAAAAATCAGAGTGAAGATAATAATGAAAAAGAAATTAAAAGTTACATAAAAGAAGAAAATTTAACGAAACAAGGAAAAATAGAAAAATATAAAAAAGTAGGAAAACATTATTATATGGATTCTGAATTAGGAGAAGTGTTGTTTGATAGAAATTATCCTGGATATATTTATTTGAATCATGGAGAAAATATAAAAGATCTAGATGAAAAAAGTGAATTTGATTCTGAATTTCCAAGTTATATAAACCCCTCTAATGTGCATTTAAGAACTGGACGTAAAAGAGAAGAACAAAAAAAAAAAGATAGTGGAATAAAGCAAAAAAAGAGATGGAATTTAAAAGTTGAGAATGATATTAAAAGAGGAAATTGGAAATATTATGATGACACAGTAAAAGATTTACTTGATTCAATTGATCAAGAAAAGTTAAGTGAAAATTACTACTCTAATAATTATTATCAAAGAACAAACTATAATACAGGATATGGTAATTTAGAGAAAGTTCAGAATAATTATTTTGATGTACAATTCATAGGTTCAGCTGAGACATATCCTTCTAATGTATCAGTGGGTATGAATTTTATATGGCCAATAAATTTCATACCTTTATTATGCAAACAGTATACTAAAAGATTAGGTCAGCCAATTAAATCAGAAATATTTAATTTAGGTGGATTTGATTCTTTACAAATATGGTTTTACCCAGATGGTATGAATAATTCAATTGATGGATATTGTTCTTTGAAGTTAGTTATGAAACCAGGTTCATATTTACCTGTTAAAATTTTTTTTTTTGCATTTAGCGAATATAATTATGTTCATACAAAACCTTTTTATAAAGAATCTGCTGATTATGTAGCATCTTCTCTCAATTTATGTAAATTATTGCTAAAAACTAAAGAAAATTTAAAAAAAGTTGAAAACAATAAAGATTATGTTATTTTAGGACCTGCAGGTAATATTTATATAGGAGTAGGAATTTATGATGATGTTTATGATTTTGATGAAGATTTTAAAAAATTTTATACAATTAATGATAAATATAAAAAGAAAAAGGAAAAGGAAAAGCACAAATTTAAATATAAATATGATTGGGATGAAGGAGTTCACATTTTTGATAATTGGTTAAAAAAACAGACGGCAATTACAGATGACAAAAACGAGTTACTACCAGTATATTACACACATTCAGATTTATATGAAAATTATAAATATAAATATGTACCTGAGAAAAATCCTTTTAAATTTTTAAATAAAAAAAAGGATAATCAAAAGTGGAATAGGCATCCATTTTAAATATAAGAAAAACATAAAAATAATGGAATTTAACTTTTTTAAATATAAAAAAAAAAGTTATCTTCAAATAATATAACTATATATTTTAAATATAATAAAAAAAAGACACTCAAATGTAAATTATATTAGTTCAATAAAGTGTAAAAAAAAAAATTTCCTAAACAAATTTAAAGATTCAAATAAATGTTATAAAGGTAAATAAAACAAAAATAAGGATATATTTATATGGAAAAATAATTCTATGTAAATTTTCTAAGGTTTAATTAATAAGGTATATAAATTTTTTTTAAAATAAAATAAACACACTTTTTTTTTTTTTTTATTATTTATTATTTTAAATTCTTAAAAATTGATATACATATTAAAAGAGTTATACTTTTGTAAAAAAATATTTTTCAGTTAGCTAACAAAAATTTCCTTTTTTTTTTTTTAGATATTTTTAAAACATTTTCCAATTTTTAATATATCATCTTAAATATCATAATAAATTTTATATTTTCATCTATGTATCTCTTTAATAGCTTCACTAATTGGTTTATCTTCTTGAATTTTTTCATTGCTGCTTTTAACATCTGTATTATTTGATTCATTATTTTTTGTTTCTTCAAAAATTTCACATAATATATTTCTTTTCATTGATGAATATATACTGTTTGGGGTATCTTTATTTAAAAGAAACGACTCCTTATTTAGTATCTTTTGATATATTTCATCGGATACTTTTTGACATAAATTATTCGCTAATTTTTCAGGTAATTCTTTCAATATAATATTTTTAATTTTTGTTAATAATTCTTTAGAGAAGTCTTCATCACAAAACTTAACTATTTGATATATGCTTTGTAGATAATTTTTTTCATTTTTTAATTTTTTTTTTTGTTTTAATTCTTCTAATTCCTTGTTAGTTTTTAGTAAGCTTTTATTAATATATATATTTTTCTTTTTATGATCAATGCATAATGGAAAAATTTTCATATCCTCATAATTTTTAATAATTTTTTGTGACTTTAATTTAAAAGCTTTATTTAGACAATCGTTAATTATTTTTTGAAAATAATCCATATGTTCTAGTTTTATTAGTTTGAATTCTATATCAATATAATACTTTAAATATATTAGAGAGCAAAAAAAAAATCCGTAAAAAAAATGTAACATTACTTTTTTCTCAAACTCATTTAAATTTTCACTTAATATTTGAGATATATGCTCATTAAGTATATAATAATATATAAGTATAGATGGTTTTATCATTGATAAAAGTTTTGTAAAATTCCATATTATAAAATTCAAAAGATATAATACTAAAGTAAAGGATGTTTTAACAAACATTTTATTCTTAAAAAAAAAATAAATAGGTAAATGCAATATTAGTATATCAATTATGTTTTTGTATTGATAATGAGAATTACACACGTAAACATTACAATACATTAATTTTAATTCACATAAATATATGTTATTAAACTGCGAGTCTTCATTTATTTTTTCTTCTATTTCAGTATTATTATGTAAATTACTAATGTTATATTTAGAAGTTACTTCTTCCATGATTTTATCTACTTTATTACTAGTGTTTATATTTTTATTTTCATTCTTTTCTTTTTTATTTTCATTCTCTTTTTTTTTATTTTCATCCTCTTCTTTTTTATTTTCATTCTCTTTTTTTTTATTTTCATCCTCTTCTTTTTTATTTACATAACTATTTTTAAAATTAATTAATTCGCTGTTATTTGATGTATTTTTCTTTTCTTCTAAATTATTTTTATCACTATTATTTTTTTCAACATTTACATCTTTTACCTTTTTAATAAAATGAAATAACGACTTTAATATAGTAAGAGGAAATTTTTTATATGTATTTATTACATTTTCTTTATCCTTTATAGAATTATCATATAATAATTTTTCATTATGCAACACATGTTTATTAAGTAAAAAAGTATTAATTATATAACTGAATAAGTTTCTTTTTCTTTTTCTAATAATTCCTTTTTTATTATAATTATTTGTTTCTTCCTCTATATTCTTACTATATTTTTCATAGTTATTATCATAACCATAGTAGTAAAAGTCTTTAGAATTATTTAAAACAAACTTAAATCTACTACCTTTTTTTTTTTTTTTTTTTGATTTCACATATTCCTTAAAGTCTATTTTTGCTAATTCTAGGCAATAATTTAATACATTTACCCTCTTCACAATTATATACTTTTTTCTCCTCTTTAAAAAAAAGTACACAATTTTATAAAACAAAAGAGAAATACAATTTCCAAAAATAAATATAAAAATAAATGATCGTCTTACTCCATAATTGAATAAATAAAAATCAAATTCATCTAAAATGGAAATGCAAATTTTTAAAAAACTAAAGGAAAATAAATAATCGTGTATGAATTTTTTGTAACAAACGTAAAATCTAAATAAATAAATTAAGTTTAAAATTGTTGTAAAATAATAAATATGATATAATGCACTTTTTATAATGCATTTAAATGGATTATAAGCTACTTTTACTTCCGTTGGGTAAAATGTTTTTGATAGTTTATTAAATAATTCATCATCTTGAAGAAAATTTGATTTAATCAACTTACGGATCCTTTTAATAGTTAATAAAGATAATATTAAAAAAATGCACAAATAAATTTCTACGTCTCTAATGATATATAAAATAATATTTGAATGGTTGTACCACATTTTTTCTTTAAGATTTTCACAAATTTTTTATAAAAAAAAAAAAAATAAATGGTATAACTTTAACTCATTTTTTTTAACTGCTTTCTCTTTAATTCCTAAAAAAAACATATAAATCAGTAATAACTATAAGGACAATTTTTGTTTTTTAATATGTATATTTTTTTTAAAAATGAAGTTTGGATTTTCTATCTTAATTATTTTTTTAGAAACATAAGATATATATTTTTTCTAAAATTAATATATATATATATATATATATATATATATATATATATATATATATATATAAATTTACATTTTTATTATTTTTCTATTATTATCTCAAATTATATCTTAAATTTTATTTTTAATAAATTATATATATATAAACATATATATACATAAATTATTTTTTTGTTAAAGCAAAGTAACATCTATTTATTGAATAACATCATATTAACATTACTTATTAACATAATAATTCTACTCTAATAATTTCGTGGATAATGTTCACTTATTAGAATTACATACTCTTGTAGGTATTCAATAAAATTTTATATTTTATTTATTATTAAAGTTGTAAATATATACAACTACGTAAACAATTTTATTATGTATATTTTATTTTTTTTTTTTTTTTTTTTCATAGTTAATCAAATATGATGTTTTTCTAAATATAAAAATATTTTAAATGTTCTATTTAAAAAAAATTTTAAAAAATCATCATAAAAATTCGTATAAATTTTAATGAAATATATTTTTTTTTGATTTTAAGTGGAGAAAAAATAATTCGCACCAAAAAAAAAAAAAAAAAATATATATATATATATATATATAAAATAGAGATGAGAGTTGAAAAAATAAGAAATAATGAAAATTAATGATAAATATAAAATTAAAAATAAAAAAAATTGATTTAAAAAAAATTAATAAAGCATAAATATATTTAAAAAGGAGAAAAAAAAAATATATATATAAAACTTAAAAAACGTATAAAAAAAAAAATATTAGATTTATAAAGGAAATCATAATTTTAAAGTCTATTAAAAATAAATATAAATAAAAAAAAAAAAAAAAAAAAAAAAAAGAACAATTATAAAATTATAGTATAACACTATATAAATTAATTTTTTAAAATCCTTTAATATTAATTATTGGTAATAATTTTTTGATTACATATATAAGAGAATCTTGATTTTTTAAAACTTCATTTATATTTTTATAAGCTTGAGGTGCTTCATCTCTAATTTTTTTATTTGTGTCGCATTTTATTCCTTTCATAATATTAACAAAATCATTTTGATTAATAATTTGTTTTGCTTTTGTTCTACTTAATAATCTGCCACAACCATGTGAGCAGGAATTATAAGATAACATATTTCCTTTACCTTTTACTATGTATGATCCCGTTTTCATATTACCTGGAATTATACCATATTCATCTTTTTTAGAAGACGTTGATCCTTTTCTAGTTACATACATATAATCATTTTTTATTTCATTCTTATCAATATAGGTAACCATTTCATAATTACAAAAATTATGGTGAATATTTATAGAGTTTTCCCAATTCAACGTACATTTAACTTCTTCATATATAATTTTTTCAATTGTTTTCATCATATATATTCTATTATATTTTGCATATTCTAAACATAATTTCATGTCTTTTATATAATTCTTTCCATTTTCTTTTCTTAAATCAAGATAAGCTAAATCATTTCTTTTCATTTTACTTTCTTCACTAGCTAAAATGTCATAAAATTCTGCTGTTGTTTTACCTATATTTCTACTTCCTGAGTGAATCAAAATATAAATATCTGAATTGTTAAAATTTTGTTCATCACAAACATTATTGGATACATTATTGTCGCATATATTATTATACTTTTTATCAATGGAATTATTTATATCATCTTCATAAATGTTATTATGTATATTATTATCCAAAGATTTTTGCATTTTATTTTTTTGATTTGAATAAGTTGCATCATACACGATTTCAATAAAATGATTTCCCCCTCCCAGTGTACCTAATTGCTGTAAATGTTTAGGTTTAATTATATCTTTTATATTTTTACTAGCATATTTATTTAATAAATTAGAAAATACTGTCTTAGAATCAAATATTTCTTTATCATGACAGTCAAAACTTAAAGGAATATTTTTTTTTATTTTATTATATATATTATTTATAATTCTATCATTCAAATCTTTTTTTTTCAAGTTATTAATTTTTACACACAAAATACCACAACCTATATCAACACCTACTCCATTTGGTATGATAAAATCTTTTGTTAAAAAAACAGAACCAATAATTATTCCTTTCCCTAGATGAACATCAGGTAATATTGTAACATGACCTTTTATAATTTTAAGTTTTGCTAAATTTTTAATCTGATTTAAACAATCACTATCTATTTTGTCTGTATATGCTAATACATCATTTGAATTCTTAAATTTTAATAAGTAGGGTGGAGATTTATTAGAATTAAATCCTTCTTCTATATTCCCATAAAATTTTTTTATATTATCATATTCATTCATAGAACAGAAATTTTTTAATTTTCTTTTTATAAATGGATAATTATTTTCACCTTTTTTTATTGATAAAATTGAATTTATATAACAAATTCTAAACATTCTATTTATTGATTTACAACTTATATATGTAAAAATAATGATTATTATGAAAAATTTCATGTTATCATTCTATTTAAAAGGTTTTAACAAAAAAAAAAAAAAAAAAAAAAAAATCAGTTGTTATTAATATTACAATTATTTAATGAATAAATTGTATCTATTTTTTTATTTTACAAATTTCTTTTGAAGTTTAGATAAACATTCATTTTTTAAAATATAATAAAGATTTAATTTTTCTCTTATTACACAAAAACATTTTCACAAATATATATATATGCGTATATATATTTGTATGTTTTTTTTTTTTTTTTTTTTTCCATAATTATATAGGTATTTTATTTTTATTTTTTTTTGATTTTAACCTGAAAAATATCATTTTTGTATAAATTTTTACAAACATATTTTTTTATCAAGAGTAAAATATATATTAAATAATTAACTAGTTAATACTTTTATTAAATTTTTTTTAATTTTTCTTTATAATCTCTAAATAATAAAATGAATATGCAGGTATTATAAGTGAAAAATAATCATAAGAACAATTATATCTTTTTTATTATAATTAACATGAAATTTCTGATACTTAAAAAGATTTTTATTTTAATTTAATTCTCTAAACTGTAAAGGGTATTAAAAGAGTATATAATTTGTTATAATTAAAATAATGAAAAGAAATTATATTTAAAAAAATATAATTGCTAGATTGATTATAAGAATTTTATATAAAAAATAAGACAATAACAAAAAAAATAAAAGAATATTCTAAACGAAAAAAAAAAAAAAAAAAAAAAAAAAAAAAAAAAAAAAACCTTAAAACAGAAAAAAAAAAGTATATATATATATATATAAATTTCTTAATAATTTTTTCTTTTTTTATTTATGTTGGGGAAACCATAACACGTTCTCCTGTATCACTTAAATCATCAACAATGATATTTTTTAATAAACTGGTTGATAATGAAAATTCAAGTAACTTATTTTTTTTTTGTGAAACAACAAAAATAGAATCACCATATATACTTATTCCTGCAACATGTCTCAATAATGGATGCTTAACAACTTTAATAAGTTCATAATTATGTATATCATATTCTTTTATATCATGAGATTTTGAGCTTCCAACTAATATATGGGAATTTCTACTATCATAAACAATTGAAATAGGAGATAAAACTGGAATAATTTTTAATAAATTAAAATTTTCATCATATACTTGTACTCCAGTTTGCTTATTAGCAACATAACATTTTCCATAATTATCGAAATCAATACCACGTATTTCATCATTCTTATGCAGTTTTACAACTACACCATCTGAATTATTTTTTTTTGAATTAAGTGACTTATCTAACTTACCATTATTAACATTAAATCGTAAAACAGTTCCAGTATTTTGTGAGCTAACATAAAAGTATTCATCTTTTCTTTTTATACCATAAGGATGAACCATTAAAGGATTTTCTTTTTCATTTTGTGATATAAAAGTGGAAAGATATTCTCTTCTATTTGAAAATTCAGTTAAGCTGTCTGAAAATTGAAATATTTTAGAATTATTCTTAAATGAATCAGTAACATATAAATTGTCTTTGTAAAGTAATAATCCTCTCAAACTTATACAATTAAAAATCTTTCCTTCTTCTTCAAATGGTAATAATACAGATCCCAAAAAATATCCATCTCTTGAAAATTTACAGATATTATGAATAGAATTTTTTTTCTTTCCTCCATGATATGTTAAATATAAAAAAGGTTTCTCATTTACTAATGTAGTTCTAAAATTTTTGTCAACCATTTTTACTTGATTTAAATGATTTGGAACAAAAAATTTTTCATTTACATATATACCTTTATAATTAACTGGTAAGCAGTTTAAATCCTGTAATATCATAAAATAATTTAAAAAATCATAAAAAGAATTTATTTCTTTTTTTTTTAAAATCTCCAAAAATTTATATAAAAGTATGTTTTTTTCTATTTCACTATTTTTCTTATTTTCATAATAAGAAAATAAAATGTCTTTGTAAGTATTCTTAGAATATTTATATTTTTTTAAATCTGCTTCTTTAAAATTTGGGTTTATTTCTATTTCAGCAATATCAGATAAATTAAAGCCCCATTTTTCTAATCTGCTATAAATTAGTTCTTTACTGTTTAATGGGAACCCTAATGAGTTAAATAATTCATTAGTATCTTCATCAATTTCCATGATTGAGAAATTTACGATATTACTATTATTATTATTATTATTATATTTTACAAAAATTAAAATAATTATAATGCTTATTACTGATATAGCTACTCTTATTATTAAATTATAAAATTTTCTTTTAGGTATCTGATATTTTATATAGTTATTTTTATACTTATCTTCTTTTTTGAAAAAGGAATTATTTAATAAGCTATTTTCCATTTTTTTAATAATTATAGTATTTTTGTTAATATGTATATACAAATATAATAATAATTTTTTATTTTTATAATCAATAATAGTTTTAATTTTACATCAAAATGTTATATTTTGTTAAGAAAAAAATAATTTTATGTTTATGAATTTATATAGTTGACTATTATTTGAAAACTATACTCTCTTCAAATAAGGCTGATTTATTTATCCTTGTTTTTCTCTCTTTTTTCTTTTTTTAATCAAATTTTATAACGAATGAAATTAATTTTCAAACATATTTTTATATTTTAACAGCATTAAGATAATAAAATGATTATTTTTTTTTTTTTTGTTTTTTTTTTTTTTTTTTTTTTTTTTTTTTTAAAAATTTTTTTCCC